AACCCTGCTCGTGGTGTGGAAACCCACGGCAGGGCTGGCTGGGTTGTGGCAGAGGCCATCCAGGCACAAGTTTAAGACAAAGCAGAAGTGAAGGTTGGAACTTCAAAGTGTGCTCATCTTCGTTTCCTCAGCACTGCGGTGCTCTGCTGGGAGGAGGTGCAGCTGCCTTTCGGCTGCCATAGCAACGTGTTGCTCAGCCCTGAGGGGCAGGGGTGAGGGCGATGCTCTTGAGAGCCTGCAGCTCCGCAAGCGCTGGTGGGGAAATGGAAAAGCTCCTTTTTAAAGCACCGTTGTGTGTCACCATTGAAGGAAAGAAAGGCAGCTAAAGGAAAAACAAAACACTGTTGTCCAAGTTGTCAACAGCTTTGTCCAAGCCACGTTGAAGATATTCTTAATTATTTGGTCTGGTATTGCAGCGGTGTTTGTTAAATACGTTGAACAGCGGCCTCCCTGCAGCACGGTGCCTGTGGCAGCTGGGAGTCTCAGGCCTTCACACAGCCTCTCTGGCTGCCCATTTTCTCTTTTGATGAAAAGATTTGTGAGTTAATTCTTTTCTCCCATCATAAATTAAAAAAAAAAGCAAGCATTTAACTACAGCCCTGGAAAAAACAAAGTGCAAGTCGGCTACGGAGCTAGACTTTGTTCCTGCGTGTGTGCGCACGTGTGTATACGTACACACAGAGCTAGGCTTTGTTACTCCGTGTGTGTATGAATAAGGGCAGTAAACAAAGTCTCCTGTTAAAATATGACATTGGAAGGCAAATATAACATTCTGAAACTTGCTCACAGAAAACAGCAAGTATTCAGTTAATTCTCAATACTCTCGTTTTTATTACGCTTTCCCAGTCTTATGTATTACATATTTAAGTATTAAATGTTACTGATTTGACTGGAGGAAAATTGTCTGGACTATAGGGATTGCAGGAGCAGTTATTAGGATCAAGGAGAATAAGAGTATTAGGAATCAAGGTGCTAAAAAAAATGATATTTTTAAAAAGCACAGTTTTGTTCTGTATTAGATACTGTGATTCCAAGTTAGCAGTGTCACAGGCAAGTACATCTCAATGACAACAGGTTTGTCCCCCTTTACAGAAGTGAATTTAACTCTGGTACTTTCTCAATTCTGTGTTTAATGTTTCAACTCATCCAAGTAACAGGAAACAGAAGAATGTTGCTGTGGCCCAAAGCAAAGCTCTGACTGAAATACCATCTGCGCTAGCTCAGGGTAACGGTGACACTGAAGATGAATTCTTCTTTCTGTAGCCTTTGCACTTCGCTTCATTAGACATTGCCTTGCCAAAAATCATCCCCACCCCACTTAGCAGAGTTGAGCTGCTGAAGAATACCACAGGGAAAAACCACTTTTAAACTATAATCCTGGAAATGATAACGCCTGAGCTGGCCTAGTGAAAGAAAAAGCATGAGTCACAGAGTTACACAAGCACATTTTGTTCTGAAGAAGAGCCACAGCTTTTCCAGAACGCCCACAGCAGGGCTCAACAGGAGCTCAGCAGGTGTTTCAAGTGCCCAGGTAACACAGTAAATAAGAAAGGTTCTGCGTATGCCTGTGTACACGTGTAGCAGCCATTTAATGAGATGGGAAATAGTATTTTTACCAGACAAGAATGTGATGTTACCTACAGGGCGAGTTCTCTGTTTGCCTTGCCTTGGAGCCTGTCTCACTCTTTGTGGTTGCCGTCATCGGAGGTGGTGAGGAACCTGTCTGCAAGAGCTTCCCATCTACTGCACCAAAGCTTCCCAGGGTGGCTGCTGCTCACAGGCAAAGGCTCAATGTTGTAATTTTTTCAGAGATTCATCACAGAGCCTGCCCCAGCTGGACAGACCACTCATCTTCCTCCCACCGCCAAGAGATGCATCATCATTAATCACGTGGGGCTCACTTTTCAGTGACTGTCCTGGCTGACATCAGCAAACTTTTCAGGTAGGCGCTGCCCTTAAAGGTAATGCCAGTCAGTGTTCCTAAAGCCCAGAAAAGCAAAAGTACATGCTGCCAGCTTATTCTCTGTAAAATAAAACAGCACTGTCTGTAAAAGTGAAAATACATGCTTCTGCTTCAGATTACTCTGACTTTATGTACTGCCACAAAGAAACACAGTCTCTTGTCCAGAAATAATTTATTCATCAGTAAAACACTGAATAGAAAAAACCTTGTAAATAAAACTATATATATAATGCTTTATTTTTTTTATTCGATACTCCACAAAAACCACTACAGACAGTAACAAAATAATAATCTTAAAAATTTCAAATTATAATTGTCACTCTTCATTTATCAGGTTTTATTAACAATGCAAAGGTCATTTGTTTACATATTATATTTTTACTTGTCTTCATTAAATTGTTTCTTAAAACACTTGAAGCAATTTGTTTGTTTATAACATATATAAGTATATCAATAAACAATATAACAGCTCTGAGAAAGATATGTTCAATGGTAAGTAGTCTACCATAGGTTGTTTAGTGGGAGAGCAGGAATAAACCACAACTGAATTGGGATAGAAGTCAATACATTGAAGAGAAATCATGTTTGGGGGATAATTACATATTTTCCATTGCTCGTTTACTAATGTGATCTCTTTCAACCTCCGATTTCTCCTGTTTTAGATACTCTAGCACCTTTGCTAGCATATCCTCATCCAGATACTGCCTGTTCTGCGTGTCGTCGGGTTCTCCAACCATGGAAAGCCTTTTGCTGAGTGACGCCAACTTCGCGGCCTCCTGTGGTCCCAGCTGACTTAGGTGCTCTCTGATGGCCTGCTCCAGTTGGTCATCTTCCTGCAGGTCGCTTTCAGAAGCTGGAACAGGGACTCGTTTCATTTGGTTCATATTGACAACTTCAGGATATTTTGCCAACACCTTTGCCAAGTAATCAGCCAGTTCTTCATCCTTCTCGTTCAGTTTCTCCAGCTCCATTTGTCGCCTCTCCAAATCGCTCATCCAGGCAGTTTTAGGAAACGGGTGTGCCTTCAATCTTCTGGGAATGTAAGACAGTCTTGGCAAATCATTTTCTTGATTAAGACGATTTAGTAAGTAGGAGGGATTCTGATTAGCTAAATTGTCAGTTCCCAGAAGACTGACAATATCTTCAATATTGAGGTCTTCAGGTAGGTTTTCTGGAATAACATTAAGAGGTTGCTTCATGTACCCATTTTTAGAGTTTCCATTATTTTTGAATATATCGCTCTGTCCTAGATTCGTTTCAGTGATCTCGTCGAGGTCTTCTGGGAATTCTGCTTCCTGCTCTGCTCCCAACCTTTCACTCTGAAGCTGCTTTTTTTCTCCAGCTTTCAACATGTCTATTAAATCCTCAGGAGGTATTTGTAAATTCCTTGAGATTTCTATCAGCTGAGCTATAGACTGAGGATCTAATTGTTTATCCAAAAACATAGGTGCTCTTTTTTCCTCAAGTTCTCCTCCAGTCCTTAGTTTTCTATTCCCAGCACCGCCCACCAGCCTCTTCAGGTAATAATTCATTAGCTTTGAAACGTCCTCTGACATTTGATCTTTATTGTCTCTTCTTATTTCATCCTCAAGGAAGCTGAGTTTCCCCGATCTTTTAATCTCGTCATCAATCTCCTCTTCATGTTTATCAATTTCCTCTTTGCTATCTTTTATCTCTTCCTGGGTTTGACTTTCCACCTTTTCCTCCACGGGATTCCAATCTTCTCCTCCAACAACATCTTCATAGGCAATGTTATTCACTTTATACACATCATCTTCATCATCTGCATACAATTTCTGGTCCTCATCCAGCCTTTCTTTCTTGTGGTTACTAGGTCCTGCCATCTTCCCCAGCTCCTGAAACACAGACTCCAGTGTAGCGAGGCTTTGGGGTGTGTACTGCTCTTCCACTATTTCGTTAGTACGCTTGAAAGGACTGTCTCTCGAACCATCTTCGTGGTGCCCGAGTGGCATTTTGAGATACTTCTGCCACCTCTCAGGCCACTTGTAAGCCTCATAATCATCAGTTACTCCAGCTGGAAAGTTATCTGAACTCAGACCATAAGGTTTATTCTCCTTTGGGCCAACTTTTGACTCTTTCTCAGCTTGCCGCAAGGCTTCCAACATGACCTTAACCCACTGGGACTCGTCTTCAGTCAAAGAATCCCTTACATTATCTGGTAGGTGAACTTGATCTTTGCTTTCTTTTTGTTGCAGGAGATATGGGACACTTTGATAAGAGTTGTAGTCAGGGCTGCTTTCTCCCTTGTTTGTTTGCTTGCGAAGATCTTCTATGTATTCCAAAGCTTTGATCATATCGGGATTTGGGAACCTTTGCAAGTTTTTCATTACATAGTCTGGATCTTTCTGAAGCAGCTGATGCTGCTGGAAGGAAGCTGCGTTAACCCAACAGATTAGGACAGAGAAAAAGGCGAGAGCGCAGGCTGCTCCAAGCTGGAAGGGTTTAGTGTCTGCCATATTTAAAATATTTCCTTGAAATAAAGAAGAAGAAGAAGAAAAAGCAGTTAACATATGGAGACAGACTTAACAAACTGCAAAATAGAGGTCGTTATTTCAAACTGGAGCTCAACATGAAGCATACTGTCATTACCACACGTTTTTATTAATTATGGAAACCTAATACCTCTTACATGGAAGCCATATATTTTGGTGGAAATTTGAGATTTACTACATCTTTCCTATGATTCCTCAGTTTACTGGAACCTACTGGTTTCCTATGCCAGAAATGTCTTACCTCTATGCTCAATGTACTTTATGAACACGAATTTTCTGATGGCAGCACCAAAGTACAAAATACAGATCCTATACAGCACATCAAATGCCCATAGAGGTCTCTAGCTGTCATTTTGATTATCAAAATGAGGACTTAAAATGGTCAAATCAGTATACCCACATATTTAAATGCTGCTCAGAAGATAATATTAAAACTGCATACAGAAGTATTTTGTGAGATTGCTCCATAGGGCATCTAATTTCATGCCAGGGTAATACCACTGAATGGTGCTAGACTGCCATAAAATTAATGTAATGAAGTGGAGACCACGGCACATAAAATGACTTGCAAGTTTATTTCAGTCATTATTGTTAGTGTTATTGCTTCCTTTTTTGCTATTTTGTTAAAAAAATATTATTTGTATTACGGGCGATTTTTAGTTAAAATGCTCTATGATTTTCCTATGGGCAATAAGCTACCAAATGAAGGACAAACTATAATTCATCCTTAAGGTACGATATAATTTGACTGAATCCTTTAAAACCCATCTCAGAAATGAGCTGCAGTCGGTAGGCTCTGGGCGGTGATTTCATTCAGCCATTCACTTCAGCAGAAATTGAATTGGGTCCCAGGACAGGCAGAAATGTGACCACTGGCAAAAGCGAGCTCAATTCAGTTAGAATAGGTCAGTAGAAGCCCATGCCTGCCCAGCTTACACCAGCCAACAATAAACTCTGGAACAGAAGTGGGAAAAATATGTCTCCAACTGAATTAAGGAGATTATGGCACTGCTGTGTATGAGGACACAGCTGCACAAGCCCAGTCTTGCGGGGAGCTGAGCACCCTCCACCTGGTGAAGGGGAAAATTGCTGTCAGTCATTTCCTAGGAGATGCTCAGGCACTGAGCTGGGGCCAGGAGACAGATCAGACTCTTTTCTGATTCAGTTACAGTAACAAATAAAAGGCAGTAATGAGAAAGAAATTATAAAGATAGAAACCACTTTGATTATTTGACCTATTTTGGTCCCTTTTGTTCTTTGCTTGGTAAAAGCATCCTGCTGAGACACTGGTGAGTCATGACAGACTGAAAGAGCTACGTATACCACTGTTTACCCACTGCTAGAAGTAGAAAGTAAGCACGAACATACTCATTTCAGCTCACGTCTAGATTTTTCAGCTCAGTTTTTGTTTCTGACATAATGTGATTTAGCTAAACCACTCAAGCAGTATCAGTTCAGAGAGCTGCCTTTCCTCTCTCAGTATGCCTGGGCAAGCTAACGCTGCTATAGTAAACAATTTCCCCAAACACTTTTGACTCCTCAAGCCTGGATACATTCGAGCATTGATTTCACAAAGGATTCATTCAGAACAGCTGATCAGAAGGTCACACCCTCCAGATCTCACCTTGCCCTGAAACAAAGCCAACACATCACTTCATTTTCTGTCACAGAAAAGGTCCTAGTCCTGTACATAAATGTGTATCTCGGGGAGGCGAGCAAATTTACTTGCAGCAAAGAAATGAAATGACGACTTTCTTTGCTAGCAGAGAGACTGGTTATGAACAGAGTGCGTTTGCTCAGTGCACAAGAAACTCTGTCCTTTCCAAGGGGTGGAGGCAGGGAGAGTTGTTCCTACTCATCTGCCAGGCACCTCCCATTCAGACGCCAGGAGCCCAGCCTGCTCCACTGCACACGATTCCATGGTGGTACAGCCTTCGTAACGGGCGTCAGCATCCCAGCAAAATCACAATGCACGTAGTCAGGCAAAGTTTAATCTAGTGCTCCACAAGGACGTCGCTCAATTGAATATTTCCTTTGCAGGAATAACACATCATTGGCTCCTCTCTAGGTATTTTGGGTGTATTTGCCTCTAGATCAGTTTTTCAATTCTAATTTATTGGTAGATTATACTTGAAAGCCTTGTCAAATGGATTTGGGAATGACTTTGTTTAAAAGCTTTGCGTTCAGGTCATAAAATCTTGTCATTAAATATACTGCATTATCTAGCACAAGAGGACTCCTCCCCAGTCTTTCAGACTTTAATTCCATATTTTTTGAGAAAACAGAGGAGATTTTAGACTGCCTTTAGAAACTGTAGTAACCCAGAAGAGGCTTCTGTGCCTCTCAAAGGACAATATGCTAAAAAGGCAGGTTTGTCTAGACATGGGTAATTGTGAAGCTCCTCTAGGTGAAGAGCATATTTTCTCCTCTGCTAGCACCTAACAAACAGGAAAATCATCTTTCGGCCAACAAATGCAGATGATCCTATTTATGAAACGAGGTGATCGAGTTCACAATTTACTGTGTACAAAGGCAATGCAGACTGACAGAAGTTCCCCAGAAAACAGACAAAACAATAAATCTCCTTTCTGGGATGTTTCCATGGTAGCAGTAATTTTCTTTCTCGATCTCTCTCAGCCGTTGTTTCTGGTGTGAATGTAATGTTTCCAGTGAAAATCTGTGATGAAAACTTGTCAGCTTTCTTGCTCTGAGAGTCCGAGTAGTTTTCCATAAGGAAAATTTTTTTAAAAAATCTTTCACACACTTTTTCTCAAATTTACTTTTACAATAAATAATGCAACTGCAGTTAATTGGCCTTTTTTCTTTTTTAAAAAAGGCACATCTAACCTTTTATCCCATGCAAGGAACAAAAACCATGAACAAAATAGGAATTGGGTGAGGAGAAGGGAGAAAAAACTCACACCCCAAGGAGTTCTGAATGAATACAATGGCTGTTCGTATATGCATACATCTGCAGAGTTAGTCAGGTTGTGTTTACATCCAAGGTAACCTCTCAGCCTGTATTCTGACGAGGCTGAAGTGCCGGTTCAGTGAGCCAGCGCGACAGAACACAGCTGCAAACACAAACGTTAGACCGTGGGGCTTCAGCCACGAACGACCCTGATAATACATCTCTATGTAACACATAGATCATGAAAGGTCTATACTTTTCTATCTATGTATGCACATATATTTCATTGCAAACATCAGCTACAACCCCATCAACTTTCTGCTGTAAAGCGCTCTTTAACTTAACCTCCCCTTTTTTTCCTGTCGATTCCCACCCGGCTGTCAGCCGAGCCCCTC